TGTGAATGTGGCAAATGTGTTGAATAGAATTAATAATTTGATATCAGAAAATTTGCCATCATTCAAAATTCTGGAAAAATATTGTTCTTAAAATGTCTCCTAAAATAATAAATTAGAATATGACAATAATACATTCATTCGTTGTACGAAATTACTATACAGCCAGTAAATTTTTTAGTGTCAATGTCGCATATAATTTATTAGTATTCTCTCTTTTAATTCCATTTCTAAATTCTGCTATTTGTAGAAAGTAAATTTCTACAATAGAATACAGCTTATCTTTTGATCACAACCTAGTATGTGTCATGATTTTACTGATCATTTTTAAAAGGGTAAGGCTGATGTCACTGAATGCATATCAAATATCTTCTTACCATCTGGGTCCTTTGTAATCATTATCAGAGATACTGTTCTGATTTAAATGAGAATAGCTACAACTTGTTACAATATATGCTTGTAGTCTAATTTAACCTTCATTAAAGAAGGTATCATCAATTATATAAATAGACTTAATGGTTTTTGCAGAGAAAGTCTACCATTGCTTTATATAATTAAATAAAATGGACACTAGCATCAATACTCATATTTTTTATTTAAATGAATCAGTTGTTATTATTATTTATAAGATGGAACAAAAATGAAACTCTCTGTAAATTCCTTTTTGATATAAAATCAACAGCAATTCATCTACTAAGTATCATCAAATATCATTTAGCAGCAATATCAATTGCATCTCCTGCGACATATATTGCAATGAATATTTTTTATAATGGTCTGACAGAACATTCAAGATTCAATTCTTTGATCGTTTGGTTATGCCACTTCTGCATCAACTTTTATAATTTTGATGGACATTGTGATTGTCTTTTAATTAAGTAATTCAATCCTCAATCCTACTTGATCAAAGTCCTATTTTCATGATAAAACACACAGGAACTGAAGTTTATCTTTATACCTCATGTATCGATTCATAAATTATCAATTATTTAACTTGTTGATTACTAATTTCCATATACGTGAAGTGTATTTGACTTGGTCAATCAATTCCTCTTTGGGAAGTATTGTTTCCTCCAATTATGTTTTCATCTGTCTTTATAATCTGGTCAATTTAAAAGTTATTTAGATTTATATCAACTGTTTTGTAAGCGCATATATTTATCTAAATTGAAACTATGCTTCTTCCGAATTTGGAACAGTTGATATACCTTGTTAGTTACTATTTGCCTATTCTAGCAAGTAGTTTGTTGAGGTATATTATATGTTCTCTATATATTGTGAAATCTTGATTTTTTGCGCTAAAACACTTCATAGAATACTTTGAATCTTTGTAGGCAGAATATTATACTAACAGATCCTCCCCTATTAATATCTATATCCTTGGTTTGGTAGTGTCTTTCTATTTAATAATGTTTATTCTGTTGGTGATTTATGGATAGGGACTGCACAAAGGTCCTTGTAATCAGAAATTTACAATTATAATATGTATTGCATTGTCTTAGGAGAGTTTCTGCCAAAGAGTTCAGAAAAATGTTGCAATTTAGAGTAATCCTTACAATCTCTCTCACATTTATACTTACTGTGTAAAATGAGTAAGGTTAATAGTAATACTAATGAATGAATCATTATTACTGAATGTATCAATACTAATATTACTACAACTAAATGAATTGATACCATTTTTACAAATTACTGAGACTTTCTAGTAGATCTAATGCTATCATGAGGTGATCAAAATATTGTTTAAACACGGCTAGAGCTTATCCAAATATTTAATCTCTAGAATATTACAAATATTTTGATAGCAATTACAAATATGATACTTAATACAATCAAATCTCATCCTTGGCACATGTATGCAAGTTCATAAATAGCAGATCAATGAAAAAACATCTTAGAAAGTGTACACAATAACAGCAGCTACCTATATAAGTTATTTCTAGGTTGCTTCAAACATTAACCAACAGAAATGAATTTGGGATATGTAAATTGCTTCTACTTTCTGCAAATGCTAATTATAAAAACACTGAATTCCGCCTTTGGTTTACACAATTTGTCATCCAATGCACTGATTTTGTCAAAATGTATGCATAATTAAGTGCAGCACTTGTAGATTTGATAGAAGATTATTCAAATATTTAGGTTCTTTTGTTGGTTATTTCCTGTCTTTCTTCAAAGTCCTATTTAGATTCGCGTGTTAGAATGTATTATTAATTTACACTATACTTCAGTCAAATGTAGAAGTGTGATTATTTTGATATTATTTGTACTTTGTGATATAAAAGCGTCGCACAAATAGCGCTGCTTATTTTAAAATCATTTTCATTCATGTTTATATCAGCTAATGAATGTTGTAACCGAATTGATGGCTATTAAAAACTGATACTATACCTTTTCTGTGATATTTGCCTGCATGTATCGTTTTGAGAAGAATATTGAATTTCTCATGATATACCATGATTAATTAAGCCACTTGTAAACGTGTAAATTGTGCTTCAATGTTACAATATTTTTTCCTCATACTTAATGCAACAAACACATTAAGTTATAGTTCTTTTATACACCATCTTTGAATAGTGAGGTTTTTCTACTTATTTCTATATCACACTAAATACCTCGAAAAATGATTTTGAGTTTTCTAAATATTGTCTATCCAGGAATATTACTAATCTAGTCTGCTTGTACTATTAATTATGCAAAAATGAAGTTCACCTCGAACAAATTGTTATTGAAATAGGGATCATCAAATGTAATAAAATATCCAATAATGGTAACTAATAACATTGCGTTACAATTTTAGCATTAGATAAATTTAATGTATATCTTATTCCAGTTATATAGAATCGATCAGTCAAATGTGAGTTACTAGGAGTTCCACTATTTGCAATTATGGAAGTAAAGAATTTAGTGAAGGAAATGTGATTTAATTAAAATGTACTGTTTTACAATTATTTTCATTAATAAATAGTTACAATTAACAATATGATAAACACATACATTTATGTAATATTAATAAATTTAATTAATTCTAAAAATTTATTATCTCATAGGGGTAAACTCATAGTTATAGAGAAGAACAATTTTTGTTATTTTTTAAAATTATCCATTATGTGGTATGGAATCCAATCTTGGGTAAATTTTTAATTTCATAATCAATTAATAAAATTGAACTAGTTGATTTTGACATTATCGTTGTGTAGATATTATTAATTTGTAAAAAAAATCAGTTTGAGGTAGTATTACATAGTTCTTACCTGAGTGATTAATAATTGTTCATTATATATATGCAAAATTATTGTTGAAAGTAGCTCCTTTGGATGTAATTCAAATAGAGCTTATTTTAGATTATTAGATGGTTATTAGGAATGGATGAATTAGGATCTAAATCCTTTTAGGGGTTAGAATACTTATTGATGATTAATATATCTTTTGAGTCCTTTATTCTATCTAATACTTTTAATATCAATTGAAAAAATAATTAACAGGCTACGAAAATAATACCAAAATTAGAGTAGAGTGATTTTAAAAAACATTCAATCCCAATGTTTTAACTTTTTTATCATTTAAGATTATTCTAAAATTAAGGATATTTTTTTTGTAATTTTAGAAATTTCTCTTTTTTCTTATCTTTGTTCTTAAATGTATCATTATCTTTATTAAAACTGAAATCTAAAATATACTAAACTATTAGTAATCATTATTTGGACTAAACCTGTTTACTCTGTTTATATTATAAATTTAATAGTATATACGTCTATAAATATTAAATTATAAACGTTGTTTCTAACATCTCAATATTATTGAAATATTTGAAGACTAATAAAAAACACATATTATTCAAAAAGTTATAAGAAAATGATTAAAATTATAATTGCAATGTTTTTAATGAATATTCAAATTCACTTCTTTTGCTTTAAGTCCTCTAAAAAGAAACTTCCTTTGGATTTAAACAATGGTTATAAATCTTTCCCTTAATGATTAATGAACTGTCCTTATAGGATAAGTGTTCCTGATGCTTCTAACAAAGGAATCTAACATATTTTAAGGATAGTACAATAAGGATTAACTAAATAATAATTCATAATGAATACCATATGGCAACAACGAGCTATTCTGAAGTGGTATGTTAAACTAGATAAGTAAATCTTTATAGCTACTATCTGATTTAAGTATTTTCTTTGATGTTTTTACATTCCAAAGACGAATAGAGTTATCATCACTACCAGATGCTAAAGTAGTACCATCAG